TGCCACCTAAAAAGAAATGAAAAGAAATACTCAAAACCCTAAAAGAAGGAAAAATACATTGGATAAAAAGTATTATAAATAAATATTAATACTTCAAATACTCTTTTTGTGGTAGGTGCATTTATTAAATTCAAAATAATTGGCAATTGCACTTACTTACTCATCCTATTAAATGGAATTGATTTTTCAATTGAAAGTTTTCCTCTTTAACTTCCATTTAATTCATAATAAAATTATTGTATGCTCTTGTCCAATGAAAACTTATTTTTGTCTCTTATTTCTCTCTTTTTTTTCTTCAATTTTATTATTATATATTATTAATTGAAACATCAATGTATAAAATTTCTAGGTCCCATTTGAACAATTTTATTGGAAATGTTTTTTTTTTTTAGAACACGTTGGAAATGCAAGGAAAAATGTGTGCCTACAAACTCTTTTTCAACGAAATGTTTTTATATTTATAAATAAATAGTGTCTCGAGCCAACAAATATAGAGTATGGAAATTAGTTACATTTACATTTAACATAGATTATATTTTAAAAAAGAATAATGAATTATGAGAAAATGGAAAAAGAAAAGAGATATTAGAACCTCCTTTGACCTTTGTCCAATTCAATTTAGGTGACATTCAACTCCTGTTTGAGCATAGATTTTGAAATTAAAATTTAAAAAATTGAATTTTCGAAGTAATATTTGGAAATGTATTTTACTTTTAAAGTTTTGTTAGTGAAAGTCCCAAAATGACAACTTGAAAATATTAAAGATTAAATTTTTAAAATCTGATGTATTTGAAGAAAAAAATTCAAAATTTATAGTCAAACGTTAACCCAAACTATGTAAATTTTTGTTATATTTTAAAATATCTATGTTCTTATTATATTAACACGTAAATAATTGAAACTTATATAATATTTTTTGTAACAGCCTTTAATATTTTAATGTAAAATTTTCTTAACTTATAATAACAAAAAAAATCACATAAATTAAGACATGAATAACCTTTAAAACCAATAAAGAAAAAAACAAAAGGCAGATAGCGCAGTGAATGTGGAAAAGAGAGGGGTCGCTTTTGTATTTGCTATTTTGTATAAAATTATAATCTGAGTTAACTTTACTAAATTCATTCTCAACCAACACAAATATATATTAAAAAAAAAGTATACTTCTCCATCTTCATCTACTTGGAATGATAATTAGGTTCTTACCTATTTTGATTACAATTTGTGGGGTTTCCTTTTTAACATTCTTTCACATGAGGACCATTTCATCTTTTTGTTGTTGATCCATTCTTGCTTCACTCAGCTTAAAGATGCTTTCTTTTTTGATATGACAACAAGATCTCATTTGGGGTTCTGATTTTTCTTCTTTGTCTGAGAAAAAAAATGAATCTTGATTCTTGATTGTGGATCCAAATGATCTATGGAGCTCAAATGACTTGATTAAAGAGGTTTGCTAACATGGTTTCTGTCCCTTTTCCTTTTTCTCCATTTGGGTATGTAGCTATGTTTCTGGTTTCAAGATTTGTTTGTGATAAAATTTTGATCTTGTGAGTTCTACAGTATGGTTTTAGCTCATGTATGTCTATGTTTTTGAGCTTATTTTGTCTTTGTGCTGTCTAAGCTTTTGGATTTGCTTTATCTGTGTTTTAGCTGTTTCTTTTTGTCCTGGGGTGGGTGGTTGAATGGATTCTGATTATTGGAGTTTCAATTGATTTTCTAGGTTAAGGGATTAGGGATGGATACTGGAAGATATTTCAGGAAGAAAAATATTCAATGAAATTTGAAGCATCCTTGTTCATTTTAACCTAAAAATTGTGGCTTTGCAATGTATAGGAGGTCTTTCTTTAGATTCCTAGTGGCTGTAATGAAAGAATGAATCATATATTTTGATCACTCTTGAAAAAGGGATCTGCATTCATTTGTTAGTTCCTAGGACTAGGTGATAGATTTTCCGGGCTATTGTACTTCTCTACTTTAAGGTGTATGTGAGTTTGAGGAGTAATATTTCTCATTGCTTCAAGAAAGTTTAGGTGTCTGCAAACAAGATAGAAGAACAAAAAGGGTTTATTTTGGGGTCTGAAGAGGTTGCTTTGTTTATTGGTATGAGCAAGATATGACTTATTTATACTATATATTTAAAATGAACTATTCATAAAAAGAAATCTTTTTGTGTGATTACGTGTATTCTATATTTACTTACGTTACCAATTGTCAATTCTTGGTCATTGTCATTGAGATTCATGTCAATTCGGATTATTATTTAGGCATATAGATATTACCTCTTTTTTTTCTCCTTTCAAACAAAGAAAAATGATTGTGTGATGTTGGTGCTTCGTGTGTATTTGAAGAAGTATCTAGGACTTGAATTTCCAATAACTTGTCAATTTATGTTACAAACGTTCCACATTATGATCATTAAACAGTGGAAAGGAATCAGTGATATATTGACATGGTCTTTTTTAATACTGTTGTAGGATAATAAGATGACATCAGAAAGATTAACAGGAGAAGAATCTCTTCAACAAGATCTGGAGTCTTTAAGCGTGTCTAAAAGGTTAGTCAGAAGTGTGAGCCAAAAGTTGAAAAAGAAGAACCATAGAAGTGGAGGAGAAGAAGAGGATGACAGCAAGGGTATTTCCTTGAGATGTCTAACGCTATATGGCAGAGGGGGTGGTTGCAAAGTGGGTGCTGACACTGGTGACGACCTAGGGGATTCATGCGGTAGAAGAAGATCAAATGCAAGTGAGGAAGGCAAAGGGTACAACCCGATATGTGGAAATGAAGAAACGTCAGTAGATTGCTTCTCTTATGGGATGAGGGAAAAATTCTGGAGGAGGTCTAATAGGAAATCTCTAGAGCTTGAAGCAGCACTCCAGAACAAAAGCATGAATGTGTTTTTGCCAGATGATATCCTCGAAATGTGCTTATTGAGGCTTCCATTTATAAGTCTCGTGAATGCTAGGATGGTCTGCAAGAAATGGAGAAACTTGACAATGACACCTCGTTTCTGGCGAATGAGGCAGGAAGGTTCGTTCCAGAGTCCATGGTTGTTTCTTTTTGGGGTTGTAAAAGATGGCTGTTGTTCCGCAGAAATACATGCATTTGATGTTTCCTTCAACCAATGGCACAAAATGAATTCTGAAGTTCTGAAAGGGAGGTTTTTATTCTCTGTTGCTGGTATCCATGATGATGTTTACGTTGCTGGAGGTTGTTCTAGCCTTGCTAACTTTGGGAAGGTTGATAAGAGCTCATTCAAGACACATAAAAGTGTGCTCGTTTTTAGTCCCTTGATGAGAACGTGGCGTAAAGCTGCACCGATGAAGCATGCAAGATCATCCCCTATTTTAGGAACTTATGAGATCAGTTCAGATTGTTTAATTATTAGGAATCAACAAACTCGAGGAGACAAAAGATTTTACCGTCCAAGAGTTGGTGGTGTATCTGATGTTTATGAAGATCCTCATAGACTTTCAGTGAGACGCCAATTTCGACATTCTCTGGATGAGAACGAAGTTACATTCTTTCCCAATGTGAAACCATACAAGTTTGTCAAACAAAAAACCGAACCTTCAAATAAAGATCAAAGACGCTTTCTCTTGATTGCTGTAGGAGGTCTCGGGTGCTGGGATGAGCCTCTGGATTCTGGGGAAATTTATGATTCCATGTCAAATAAATGGACAGAGATCCAGAGGCTTCCTGTAGATTTCGGAATAGCTTGTTCAGGGGTTGTGTGCAATGGGTTGTTTTATGTTTATTCAGAAACTGATAAGCTAGCTTCATATGACGTTGAGAAGGGCTATTGGGTTAGAATCCAAACTAGTCCATTCCCTCCCCGAGTTCATGAATACCACCCTAAACTTATATGCTGCAATAGTCGGCTATTCATGCTCTCTGTCTCCTGGTGTGAAGGGGAAGGTCAGATTGGCAGGAGAAACAAAGCAGTAAGGAAACTCTGGGAGCTAGATCTTATGCCTCTCACTTGGAGAGAAGTTTCAATCCATCCAGATGCCCCAATGGATTGGAATGCTGCATTTATAGCTGATAAAAACTCTATATTTGGAGTCGAAATGTTCAAAATATTCGGGCAGGTGCTAGACTTCTTGACCGTTGGAGATGTAACCGATGCTGGAATAAACTGGAGCCATATCTCAAGGAATCGTCTTGCGCAAGAATTGGATGCTGCTTCTTGCTTGACGAAATCCATGGCAGTACTGCATTTGTAACTGATCAAGAACTCCAACTAGTCACAATATATGTGCAGTCATTTTTCTCTCCTATATTCTTTTGTTGTGGACAGTCTTTACCATTTGGTTGGACGTTTGATGCTGTTTAACTTAAATCTATATTCTTGTTTATTTCATTGTTATTCCCATTTGTTCTATTGATGTCATGCAGGTCATTCAATTGTTCTGTAATTTGTCTTTTGAGCAGTGAAATAATGAACTCTGGTTTTTAAGTTTCTCTCATGTTATGCCTAGCATATAATGTGTGGACCAATCAAAGATTATTATGATGTTATAGGTCCTACTGTCCTTGAAGGGCAGCCCGATGCATTAAAGTTCCTGTTATGTGTGGGGTTTGGACTACAAAGATTATTGTACGCAATCATATCCTTCATTTCTGCAAGAAATTGTTTCTATAACTGGAATTCATGACCTGAAGATCACATGATAACAATTTTATTAGTTATCCTATAGAGTAAGCTCGTCTATCCCAAATTGCCGTATGAGCAATATATATGTTTGAGATATATACACTAGTACCGGCTATTTCATTTTGGTCAATCAAAAGGGTTATATCCAAGCCATTTGTGTAACGAATAGATACAAATAGGTCATTGTTTTTCAAACAGCGGAGGATATATTTGCTCTGAATCACATGCTACAATTTCTGTCATTATTACAGAATCTTCCATTTCAATGGTTTCCACATAATGAGAAAAAATGAAAAGGAACTCAAGTATGTTAACTCGGTGCCAACAATTTTGGGACAAAAGGAAGTTCAAATAAACTGACTCAGATCATAGAGCAATTTTTCTAATGGTTCGGCAACAACTCGTAATGTTTGAAATAGTAATACATATTTTACAACAATAAATCTAACATCAACTCCTAGAGAGGAAAATAATCTTGTGAAGAAAATAGAATGAATAGACATGAATGAAAATGACCACTAAAAAGTGGCCTAGGGGCAGAAGAAAGAATTCAAAAACCCCTCTATAAAGAAGAAATGAAAATACTATTTACCTGCTCCATACAACAACACACTGTGATTCATCTAAGAAACTAATGAGGAAATAAATGACCACAATTTCCACCTAAACAGCTCGACGAATATCAGCCTGTGTTAGGGAATACGCCGGAGAAGTTTGGAATTCTGTCAACATGCTTCAGTGCCCGCTCAGCAATCTGTCGTGTCCTATAATCACCATGTTGAAAAGCATCTACGAGGGCTGTGCTCACATTTGGATCACCAGAAACTTCAAAGGAGATCTCCTCTGTACGAAGTAATCTTTCAACTGCCCAAACTGCTCTTCTGCGCAGAGTCTCAGTCCGCTTCTCAAGTAACACAAGCAGTATAGGTTTGATTCCTTCAGCCTCACACAATTCATGGACACCTTGTTCAATATCAACTCCATCATCTAACAAAGTGCATACAGCTGCAAGTGATGCCTCAACGACCTTTTCATTTGTGTGGTCCAGAAGTGCCACCAACTTGTCTACCGCTTGTCCTTCCAAGAGACAGAAGGTGTCTCTCAGAGAGCATGTCCCACGATGGACCTTACACAATCCTGTTATAACTGGTGGTTTGCTCAAACAAGGGAAGATCGAGACACAAAAACCTGGCTTTGGTATCTCGGGCAATTTGGTCAAGTTTTTGGATTCTTGAGATAAGTTCTCCAAAGCCATGGCGGAAACCATCTGCACATTGTCAAGTCCATTGGTCTGCAAAAGTTCAATGAAGAGTGCAGCAACATTCTGTTCACGACAAAGTGAAACAGCATTAGGCTCATCATTTAAAACAAATGTGATCCTTGAGAGAACCTTCACGAGCCCTTCTAGATATGGCGTAACAAAGCGATTCCCTCTTGTCTCTCCTTGTCGGATACTGACAATCCTGGAGATTGCCAGCTGGAAAGCACCTTCATCTAGCATTTGCCTTGTAAGTCCCCTATCTCTTTCAGGGAGATCAGCTACAAGTCCAACTGCTGCAGCTTGCTCCTCGGTTATACCAGTGTTCTCTGATATGACTTTAATTAGACTACCAAGCTGACCTGATGTACCACGTAAGCAACGAGCAAGTTCTTGACCCATGTGTGGAGAGAGGTTCCGCAGAAGCTTTATCGAAGCTACTCGAAGATCTTTCTGTGGAGCCTCTATAAACTGAACCAAACTAATAGTAGCAGCTGAGCTTTTAATGGCAGAAACAACATTAAAAACAGTTGTGGGAGAACTCGTGAGTCCAAAAAGAACCTGGAGAAGCTTGCATTCTATTGCAGGACCAGTGTTGCTAATAAGATGTAGAAAGTTGTGAACTATGTCCTCTGAGACAAGAGTCTGATGTTCAGATCCAACTGGAACTGAATCAAAATCATAACCTGTGTTGACGATATTTGCAAGAATTGTGGCAGAGACCTCTTTCAGTTTCATGGGCAATTGGTTGGCCCCAACAAAGAATAGATCTTTGACGAGAGGGGGAAGTATACCTGCCTCTATGAGGATCTTGGCACTAGACTCATCAGACGAGATTTGATTTAGAGATTTTAGAGCAGCCTCCCTTGATGACATATCACCATATCTCATGATGCTGATCAGTGATGAACCAACAGTTCTAGCCACTAACACTTTCACATCATTATTAAGAACCAGCTCACCAAGGAAAACAGCCATGGAGAGTTTGGTCTCTGGCGATCCTGGAACAAGTGACGGGACAATAAAATTAACTTGGAAGATGTTGAATGAAATAAAGAAAATGATTTTGCTCAGAGAGACATAATCAGTGTAAGATAAACAACAGTGCAATTATGGTAAATGCGGGAAATTGCTCCCAAATGTTCATGGGTGATGAGTTTGGGCATATCCACTTAGCTCAAACACAGAGCATGAAGTAATCAGTTTAGTAAGTACATAAGTCTGAAGGAGAAAATTTTAAATGGAAGTATGGAACAGCCAACAGTATGTGATTTTTTGGTTAACTGAAAGGACATCAGAAGAAGGGGTGTGCTCCAACCCCCCCGCGGCTCCAACCAACTAAAATGCCACTAAACATACAAAACTAGATATACACACATGTCTGTGAGCAAGTTCCCCCATGTACATGTTGAAGTTCCTGCTAGTTTATGAGAAATAAAGTGATAAGCCTTCACTACTAGATCTCTTACCAAATGATTCCTTAGTAAGTGCTTAAAGAAAAGATCTTGTACATAAAAGGAATCATGCTAACCTACCCTATTAGGGAGTTGCTAAGTAGTCTGAAAACTACTGATTACACTCTTGATATGGAACTCTCTCTTTCTACCCCTGCATGTCCTCTCTTCCGTGGGCGTGAGAGAGGGAGTGAGTAGAATGTGGCAAATTTGTGCTATTTGTATAATCAAGACTATACAGTCAGATATGAAACCCCCAAAAAACACGTCAAAAAGAAAGGTTAGTTGAGACGGTCTACGCTGTTGGAGAAAGAGTTGGACGAAATCAAAGAGAACTTTAATGAATATCGTAATAATTGATAAGTTCATGAATGAGGAAGAAAAAATCCTACATGATAATCATGATAGTTGCTATGAAATTTCAGACGCAGGGCAAGTAATCCAGAAAAAAAAGTTATTACTCCCTCTGTCCCAATTTATGTGACTTACTTTCCTTTTTAGCAAGTCCCAAAAAGAATGACACATTTCTATATTAAGTAACAATTTAACTTTTAAATGTCCATTTTACCCTTTAGTGAAATGATTTATAGTCACACAAATTTCTATCATTCATTTTAGACCACAAGTTTTAAGAGTTTTCCTTTCTTTCTTAAACTTCGTGCCGAGTCAAACTACCTCACATAAAATGGGACGGAGGGAGTACTAAAGTCTGATGATGAAAAATAGGAGCATGTTCCATAGATTAGGGATCTCCTCTAATCTATGACGGTTTCTATGGCTCTACAGAATGATGATGAGAAAAACAATAACTACCACGTGTTTAAGAAGAGTTCCAAAAAGCATCAAATTTTCATCAACGGGCCTACTAGGACGGGGGAGGGACTAGCAACAGTCTTCAGGTACACCCCAACTACCTGACTGTTTAACTACTAAGGTTTTGAAAGTCAAGACTTCGTCTATTACAGAATGGAAACTCAGATCTGATTTCGTTAGAAAATATTCATGAATATCAAGCAATACATCACTCCATGAACATCACATAATTTCAGAGGAAAAGTATGCACTTGCAGCACATGATAATTTAGAATCAACTTATATGCTAGATAAGGAAGTGAATTACGACAAAGGGAAGCGATGCAAACTAAGAGAGCTGCACATGCAAAGAACTTCAATTACCAGGGAAAAGGAAAAGGATGCCACATAAGGAAGTGAACTACGACAAGGAGGGGAAGCAATGCAAATCAAAGAGTTCCACATGAAGAAACTTCAACTGGAAGGGCAAAGGTAAAGGAAGAAAGGATGTAGGATTGCATGGACATCTTATTGATCGACGGTGTCCAAACTTGAGGCAAGTTTTTTTCCCACCCAAGGATAGCTGATGCAGAAATGAAGATGGAAACTTTCATGGAACACTCCACAAAGTCATTTAATAGTTCATTGTTACTGTAGCAAACTGCTACGTGGTGAGTTATGTAGCAGTCATATAGGATTGGGGTATCAGTTAGGTCATATTAATTTTAGGTAACTTATCAATTGATTGCTCCCTTGTTTTAAAATGTTATTTTCTAGTTCCTTTAATCAGTTTCCTGATTCACAGTAATTAGGAGTTCTAGATTGTTATGATGAGGATTGTTAAGAGTCCTTTTTCCTATAAATAGAGCTGTATTTCAGCTTTGTAATACATTCAACCATTATTCTTAAAGATATTTGCCTTTTCGCTTTCATATTCTGTCTAGAACTTCTAGTGTAAACTCTCCCTTTATTTCCTATCAAAAAATATTAAACACGGTTTGGACATGCTTTGAAGAAAAGAACTTTCTACACACTCCCACATCATCAAAATCCCTAATTGTGTATGGTGTACAATACCGACTAGAATCATAAGAAGAGGTAAAATATGCTGCCTAAGAAAAAAGGAGTTTATTTGAGTGTAAGGTTTGCATACATCCTACCCTCCCCATGAAGGAAATCCCACATAACTTTTGAGGTTGTCTTAGGCCCATGATCCATTTCATTTAACAATCGATTGGAACAAATATTTAGAGTAATACAAAGAGGCACAAGAGATGGACACTCAGACATCAGGTAAAGTACCTTCAAGTAGTAGAGTTAATAGGGGTTGCAGCCGGCCATTTTCTGCCATTTGTTTTACATTAATCTCACACTTTTCCAGATTCTCCAGAGTATTCTCAGCCTTTTCAACAGTCACAAGATTCTCAGATTTGCTGCTGGCCATCCCAACCAGAATCAGAATGGCCCCATTAACTGAACCGATCTTTCCACACAAATTTTTCGATTTGGATAGCTCATACAGCAAAGAAATGGCTGCCTCTCGTTCTTTGGATTGTTCATTTGATAAGAACTTGACTATTGTGCGTACATTGTCGCCCTCAGCCATTATTTCCTGCAAGAAAAGAGCAGGACATATAATGAAAGAAAAGAAATTAGTAAGGGAAAACATAAACAGTAGGAATAATCAACATCATAAAACAGACTTTGGTAACAACATAAATATTATTTTACCGAAGTTCTACAACCTTATTGTCATCGTCGTCCTCTACCACAACTAGAAGCGTTTCAAGAGCTTTACATCGAACTCTGCGGCTGCTGGTTTTTAACATGTCTACAATCATGGGTATGAGATCTGCATTTCGGATAACATGTTTGTTGGCACGACTTTTTTGGCAAAGGTGCTGAACAAACTTTAAAGCCTGCATAATGTCACCCTCGGCACTACCCATAGATAATGATCTGCGAGCCATATCAATTTGTGCAGCTTCATTCCTTGCATTCCATTCTTCAATGGTATTTCGTAGAGCTATACTTGGATTCAGCTCTGTGCTTTTCAGATCTCTATGTGTTAAAGGGCAAACAGGCTTTCTTCCACTATCCCTACATTCCTTGAACCATTTTTCAATAGCTTCCCTCTCAAAAGTCATGCCATTTTCCAGAGTAACAGGATCCTGCATTACTTGTTTTGTCAAAGGGCATATGAATGCATCATAAATTGGTTCTATGTGCAGTCTCTCAAGATGGTAACTCTCCTCGGACGGGCTACCAGGATCATGATTCCCATCCCAGCTTTCAGCCATTAAAGCTTTGTACCTGTCAAAGCATCTAACATAACTTTAGATCCCGACACAGAATCTCAAACAAATGACACACTATGCATAAACCGACCTCTTGAGCAAGAATTCGCTACCATTGATATGAAATACTACAGCTGCCATTATGTCATTGAGAAAGCAAATCTAAACTAGTGAAGCACTATGTCCCTTATCCATTTTTCTAGAGTTGTATTCTCGAGTTAAAAGCAACACCGCATAACACCAACAAAGAAAACAAAAAATTGGGAAGAAAAGATTATCCTAAATCAAAAAGAGACTTCATAGGATGCTACACAATACTAAGTGATTGTCCACTCAAAGGAATTCTTTTATCCAAGCTTTGATTATTTTATCAAGCCATTGTCATTTCCCTTCTATTCACTTGATTACTCTTCTTTGCTGATATACACCAAAATCATGCTTTCTGTATCTACAAAATTCTATCTTTGAAAATATGACCAGAACAAAACAACAAGAGAAATTACAACTAGTACTTCTTCAAACAAAGATCATAATTACAGTGATCAAAACAAATGATGAACAGTAAAACTAATAATTGCCTGATCAAAGTTCAATCACTAAAGTCAATATAAACCAACACCATTTGAACCCCAATTTCAACTAGCAAAAAAAAAGAGAGTAAACAAAAACTTCTACGTGGGGTTGTAAGAAAACTAGAAAAGAATTGAACTTTTCACTAGTCAGCTGAAAAAGTTCATACCTTTATGAAAAAAGACTGTTACTCAGCTCACAAGACTCAATTTATGAAATCAATTCTCAAACAAAACCCAAGGATGAAATTAAGCAGAATTCAATTTCTTCCATGAATCTTGAATTAGGGTTTGAATGGGGCCATGTATGGTGGTTGGTGGGGTGGGGTGTGTGGGTGAGGAAGAAGAAAGGAAGAAAAAAGAGCTGGCAGCAGGGATTTAGATGAATACAAACAAAGTGGAAACTTACAAATTATGATTTTCTAATATGTAGTTGGGTGATATTTTAATGTACTTAAAATTGTTGAGTTGACTCAGAAAAAAACTTGGTTGACTAATAAGGAACACACAATTTTTTTGCTCAAAACTTTAGAAAAGTTTTGTTATTTTCAATATTTTTCTATATGAACAATATTTACTAAATTTTAATATATATTTTTTTGTCTATTGTAGTATCACGAGTTTAAATTCATTAGATTAATAATTTAATTAATTTGTAAGTAAAATTGAGTTTATTATGTATACATACTACATAGACCTAGCATAATCAAGAAAAAGATCTATATAAGGAATATACCAATTAATTAGGATTATAATTTCGTTGGTGTACTTGCACAATGTAACAAAAAACCTGAGTTTGTTAAGTAAAAATAAGTGTACCTTTTAGACTACTAAATTTAATAATTTTCTAATTTATCTTAAATTAGTGGAGAAGAAAAAAAGAAGTACAAATAGAACAAAATAAAAATAGCAGACAGAATTTAATCAAATTGAGACCTTTTTGGTGTAGATAATTTTCTTTGTTTGTGCTTCACACTGTTTTCTCCTATCATTTTCCTATAAGTGTGAATGCATTTCCTCTTTTTTCCAAATACATGCACTTTATGTTTTTGTTTCTTTTCATTGTCCTAACATAAATTTCTTCTTCAACCTACATTATCAATTTTTAGCAACATTTGATAATGACAATCTAATTATCAAATAGCACAAAGTATAAATAAAATAAAAGAGTCTTCACCTCTAATTTCTTTTGACGATATAACTTAAATAGAACGACATAAACAGTGAAACACACACATATATAATATGTATAATAATATATATGTGTGGTCCATTGAATTTGACTTGGGTCTTTGTTCCCCCAGTACTTACAACCCCAAATATGGGATGAAGGTCAAGATAGAGTTTAGGGAAATATCAATTAGATATTAGGAAGGATTTGTATTTAATTGTGTTATTGGGTTTAGCTGTTTAATCAAAACCATGCTACTAAGGGGAAAAAAAACAAAAGGTTGTTTGTACAAAGTTAATAACATATCAATAAATGAAATTGAATATACACAACAACTAAAGTCTTCTCTTCCATTTCCAAGGTCCAACACACCTTCCATCTACAGTGATCAAGATAATTCTCTGCTTCACCAAAGTTATGTTGCTCGGATTCTCTAAAAATATTGCCACACCCATGTCGGATCCTTTTGGAGGATCCGACACATACACTTGAAGAGTTCGAGTAATGTAGCACCCAAGTGCAAGATATTTCCTGCTCTTTAGTCAGAACTTAAGTCTTCCTGAACTTAAAACACATTCCAAGTTCCAAAAGCACTTCATCAGTCCAAGGATCCATGCTAGTAGACATCAAGCTATCTCTTCAGCAAATATGATTTCAAAAATGACTTGAACTGCAGAAGAGAAGCAATTAGAATGTAGAAGTTGGGGTTCAATAACATGTAAGGTGGGCAGTTAAAACAATGTTTTACAAGCTTCTTTTTTAACACAACTGAAACTCGATTCAAGCTAGCAAGACCTTACTGCATAAAGTAGCTACAAGCAAAACTACATGATTAAGAGGCTTCATATGGTTGCTCTCACCTTGTATATTTCCTAGGAGCTTTAACTTACAGGACTTAGATAACTTGATGAGATGATTAAACAAAGTTACACATCATCAGTAACTTAAAAAATATTATGGTGAGTAACAGCTGCCTAAATACCTAATCAGCAAAGGAAAGAGAAGAGGAATCACAGAAACTAAATATCTGAGACTGAGTGTAAAATTCATAGATTTGATACAGTTCAATAATTATTATCTCTTAAGTTAACTCCTGAGTCTTCTAGGTTGACTGTAAGCCTAGAGATCAGGTAATCCAGGAGTAAGGGGCAATATCCAGCTCTTTATTTTTTCCTCCATAATAAGCTCTCCATGCATTAGCACGTCAACATCCATATCTTTATTTCAGGCCACACCAAAAGAACGTCTGCCTTCTAATTTTAGGTTGTCATATACTCCTGTCTGAGAGAATTATCGACTCATGTCAGACAAATGCATACTCATAGACTGGTACCTCTAATACAAAGGTGTTTCTTTCCTTTCTCAAAGAAAGCAAACTTTGTAATCACCACACCCAACTGTTGACAAAACCAAAATACATTTTGAATTCTTCTCTTCATAAATGTGCCAAGTTCAAACTGCCATGCTATAACAGTTTGTTCTGACAACATGTTTATTTCACAGGAAAGAATAACTGCAGCCTTATATTGATGAACTGTCTGATAGACTGTTGGATTCATACTGACACCAGTTTTGTTAACAATGGGATTTGCACAGATTCAAACTCACATCATATGCCATATCAATTAACAAGTCACTTGAATTCCTTTACTACGTTTACTCACCTTCCTCTTTGGGGATGTTAGGCTGATCAACCAACAGTTGCTGAAGTGCACCTAAATCATCAGTTGCACTGCAAGATAGTCAAGTTACACTATGTGCATAAATGTTCAGAGAGAGACGGAACCTTATGAAAACCCTGAATATCCCTATCATCACTCTATTAAAAACTAAGAGTGCCTTTTTAAAGTAGTTCTGCATATTCTTGACTATTTTGTTCCTTTTCTAGGAAGTATTCATACGAAAAATACTGACATAAAATGATAGCCTTTGAAAGAACAGAAAAATTGCGTGTAGATCAAAGCTTGAAGACCAATACAGCCATAAAACTGTAGAGAATAATTCATGAAAACGTTTAGAAATTACTGAGGCCTGCAATCTGCATACCATTAGTGCACTGATTCAAATGAAGAAAATTATTATGCTGCATTACTTGTTACCTTAATGTGAGGCCTATTTAATAGTTAGATTACACTTGAAATAAAAAATGATATCACTGGATAGGAGCTAGTGTCTTTATTTTCATCAGTTAGGATTAACCGAACATTTTTCTTGGGGAACCAAGCAAATTGACAGAGGACAACTAAATCACAACCTATCTCTCAACCTCTGCCAGTGAGATCTAGAGAGAAAATAAATGGCCAAAACTGTCACATCATACCTGGGTTTTAAAGCAAATGCTGAAATTGCTGATATGACCGACAATTTCAGACAGTACCTGAAAAATGTACTGGGGGAATCAGTAACAAAAGTTCGATGCAATATCACAAATAATGCAAGGATTAGAAATAGTTCCAACAGTAAAGGATGATTATATCAAATTCATTGGAGGTGAGGGAGGTCCAGGAGGAGAAAGAGAAGAAAGAGGTAAACTTGATTCCAAACAAAAAATTTCTTCATCGTACCCTGTCATAGTATATAGATCAGCCAAATCATTATCGTAGTAACAAGAAAAAGCTCCTGATTGAGCAAGTGAGCTTGTGATACTAAGAAGGTGATGGCGGATTGCATATGATTATCTGGCATTTTTTTTGGATAATTATATGATTATCAAATTCCTAGGAAGAAAGATCAAAGTACATCTATCACAAAGAAAAGGCAAGCACAAAATTTACTTGGAAAACAACATACTCACGCCTAATAAAGGCTCGATGATGGAATTTGCTAGTACTAAAAGACAACAAATTTTCTCATTTAAGACAAACAAGGCAGGAAAAGAAAAACAGGAAAAATATATATGTTCTTCGTTATGCATACTCTGATTGGTGCATCTCATAAAGAAGTTGTAGCCCATCCAAGCAATCAGCAATGCTTGGTTTCATCCCAACGTGTTGCTGTAGCTGTTTCAAATTCTTCTGAACGGATCCCCCTTTTATGAGCTGTCTACCATCACGAACCATCTTATCAAGCGACAGCACAACCGAATGAAACTTTTCCCTAGATATTGAACCAAACATAAAGAGGGAAAAAATTAACCCTCTTAGTTGATAAATCAACTTCTAGCTCAAAGAAGTTAACGCACAGACAACTGCAGAAGCTACTCAATTACTGCTATATAACATTATGAAGGAGTAACTTTTACTAGCATAATCAAATACAAGAAAGAAGAACAAAGAACAAATCAGTGTTGTCAAAGGTGTGCTTTAACCCTGAAGCGAGGCTCAAAAAATGTTGAGCACTTCTCCTCGCTTAATGTGTACTTCAGTGCCTGCCATCAAGGCTCTAATACAAACTTTTCCTAGCAAATGAGTGTTTCCTGAAGAGGTGACACTAAAGAATTGATATTTCACTTTATCATTACAAAATATTCAATTTCACTGTCCATATATTTGTTTTTCATGTTTATAATTATTAGACTTGAACTAACCATACATGTATTTTTTCTCCATTTGCACCTTTTTTTCACTAAACCCACGTTTTATTTTCCCTTTGTGCTTAAAGCCCCAACCAATCATAGAGCTTTTTTACGCTTTTTGCTTTTAAAAATACTGAAACAAATATAAAAAGGTCAAACAACAATATTTTGAGTTTTAAAACTGACAAAAGAGAGTGTTTTCCAGTAGTTAATTTACTCTAGTTAGAGACTTGAGTATCACTATTTCAAGATAAACACTACTTTAATATAACAGACCTTTTTCAAGTTTTTGGTATTAGAATGCTCCCAAATGGAAAAAGGATTAGTTTGGATAGACATAACTTAGTAGTATGGAATAGAAAGACCTACATAGTTTCATTCATTGAAAGCAAGATAGTTTGTAGAGAATTCATTTGTTTCAGCAAGACAGCTTCTTGAATGCCTTCAACACATGTCAAAGCACCATAATTCTTAGAATCCTGAAGAATCTGCATAAAAATGTATTCTTTTATGAGCTAATGTCAAAAGCCCTCAATATTTATAGATATTGAATCCCGCATATTGATTTTTCATATTTTGAAAATCCGGACTCAGCCACTGATTTCGAGCCATTGGAATATGGGTAAAAAACTGGGGAAAGTACCTGTAACCTCTGAATGATGGAAGAAGCATTGATGAATTGAGAAATTAATCGAGATTGTAGCTCATTCCAGTTCTCCATCTCTTCCTTCACTTTCCTGAATCTCTGCTGATACTTTTTAATTATAATGTCCATCTCCAATTTACCCAAACCTATCAATAATCAATCAAACAATTAAGAAAACCTTTAACTGAGACGAACATAGAGAGATACAGAGAGGAACATACTACCGGAGTTGGCCGGAGAAAGAGACGGAGAGAGGGGAATTGGTGGCAGCCGCCGGAGAAGTATTAACTTCGGCTATATAATTTTTTGTTTTTAAAAAATTTGGGAACATAATCTTATTTTTTAACAATAATAAGTGGTAAATTTTACAATTTTTCCACAAAATCAAATCAAAGCATCACTTATATTTTTGTTTATTTAAAACATAGAAGTGCAAAAAGAATATAAAGACACAACATAAAAAGGTCAAAACAATTTATTTTTTTAATATCTTCTGTGTTTTGGTGAAGTATAAGTTTCACATTCGATAACTCAAATCAAAGTTATATGTAAAAGAATACTCCATATATATTACATATTTATCGGTTGCATTTCAAAAGATGTGATTTAGTAATTGCATTTCAATAATGTGACTTACTAATTTAAGCTAACGTTATCTCCCAACCCATTCATTAATCACATTTTTCATGTACGTTACTATGTTTATGAAATTATCGCTATAATTACACAAATAACTTTTTACTGCCAAAATTGAGAACATTTTGAGGAGGTGGGGTGCGAATCGTTTAATTTGTTGTGTTATGTTCTACTTGTAGCTCAAAGGTTATTAATACCGTGTATATCCCACAAGTGGAGTCTGAAAAGAATAGAAGGTAGTCAGAATGGACCCTCAACTCAGAGAGAATATTATCGAAGCGGGAATTGACATTGATAGCTAGTGAAATTATACAGTAGCCAATGATTCCAAACACAAAACTCACGACTCTTCAATTGCCTATCAGCACTAGAAAAAAATTATTGCAAGTGGCAAACCATTTGATACAATCAAGTATATCAAACGAAAAAAACTGTGATACAAACATATTGCAGTTCTCGAACAGTACATAGCGAAAAATGAATTACAAAACCCAACCCTTCCATCCCCTTTCCTTTCTCATTTTCCCTCTCTTTCCCCTCTACGCAGAAAAAACATGACTAAAATAACTTGATCCTGGAAAAAATGGATTTTTCTGTCATGAAGACCAGACTACACTGGGATTCTTCAAACATTTGGAAAACCAATATAAACTGTATCTTATCAAGACAAGACTTTACCTGTCCTTCTAAACTATACAACACACACGTGCAAATAGATGGCATGAAAAACGCTGAGGAACAATGGCAATCAAATATAACAAATCATGGCCACAAACTAGAACGAACTCCAATGATCAGAACTTTTCTTGGTGTTTTGACTCTCAGATGAGACCTTAAATGGTCCAGTGGATCCAAATGGGTCAGCGTCATCAAATGAGTATCCTCGACTGTGATCAAAACCACTGGCACTACTTATGGAGTCAAACCTCGTGAGAGTCTCCTTTCGTGGGGAAGATGCACGATCATTTGTACTGAAGGAATCATACCTTGAGAAACTGTCAAAGAAAGGATCTTTCGATCCTACACTATATCTCGGAGAAGTTCCCGCTCTTGAAAGTGGTGAGCCAGGAACTGAATCCTCAAACGTAAATGGGCTATTCTTCTGGTATCTACTTTCAGCCCCAGGAGACTCTGTCCTTGTTGGACTTGCACCAAAATCAGTTGAGTCAAAGAAATGTTTCTCTCCATGCTTGACATGATCCGACTCCTGCAGGATATTATTAGTCAATGTACAGGGAGACTCTGCAACAGAGCAAACTAGCATTCCATCATCATCAACAGATGGAGTATCAAAAAGCAAAATCCAACTGTGCAATTGAGATCATTATTGGGTGTGTACAAGGGTGAAGCAGGAATTATCTTAATTGGGCAACCAAGATACACATGCAACATCGGAAACTCATAAATAAAAATGTTCCCGTATAAAATATGAACTAGGATATCTTGTTTTATTAAAGAAGAAGATGTTATTTCACATAGTGGATGAAGATGAATTGTTTAGTGTTGTTTCATCTTTGGTGTAAACAGGAGTATATGGAAGATCCAGAATCAGTTAGAGATGTCTTAAGCTCTTTGTAATTTTTGTTGAAGTGTTGAAGATCTTCCTGATACTCTACCTCAATTGTAATTAGGAAACCTGTAACTTGTTGTGACAGGTTTCTGATTCTTTGGAAATAGAACACAAGTTGTTACTTTCTCAAAAACAAAATTATCAATTCTATATAGGAATGCAAAAAGGAAAGAGCATTACCGCTTGCCAACATTTTGTCTCAGATTACTTATACAGCAGATTAGTTGTTAAGTGGAATAGTCAGCACTTGCACATATTTACAAAATGACAAGACATGTGACATCTAATAACATTGAACAAAACTAAATCTGATTAAGGGTTTGCCTACTCACCTTAGCACTGAAGCCCCAAACAGAATCCACATCATCATTATTGTCAAACGTACCCCAGCCAGGTTCATCAAATCTGTTAACCCAATGAAAGGGAAGAAGAAAAGGACATGAATAAGAATGATGCAAAGCTAGTTATAGGCCTCTGCCACAAGTTTAGAGACGGCATGTCCGACAAGATCAAGGACACACAGAAAGACTTGAAATAAAAGCTTGTGGGACATGACTCAATGAGGGCACTGAAGAAACATGTTTGTGCTAGTAGGTTTCACCATTTTAATATACATCAATCCAATCAAAGAGCCAAAATTCGTGTATAAAATGCCAGTACAAACAAATGGTTGTTTATCCCCCACCCACCTATTCAAGTTTCTCCTTCGTAATTACCTTAACGGAAAATTTTCGCCAAGCCTTGAAAAGCAGCTCTTAAACAGAAGGCAAATTGCCAATCATCTGTCTACTGCAAAAACTTGAGCATTTTTCTACCTTTTTAATGAGACAAGGAACAGAGATAATGGGTCACTATAACATACTTGAGCATTTTCCTACCTTAAGTCATGATTTTCTTTTTCCCCTTCCCGTGATCGATTTAGAAATTTCTTCAAAAGTCAGAGTTAATACAAAATCTCAAGGTACTTGCACATACTTCCCCTAAGAAGCTATATCTAGTTTAAACTTACGAGGCCCTTTTTGCTTATAAAACTAACTGAGAGGCAAAAGTTCAATGAAGTAAAAGAAGTTCCACCAGTGGATTAGTGCAACAAAACTATGGGTACAAAGTCCTAGTCATCCAGAAAAATTGTACTCACTGTGACAATCCCCTTTCATTGGCATAACCATATGGCAACTACTCCACTATCCTCGCTGCTATCTTGCTCTGGTTACCAACTCAAAATACTTACCATGAAGGATTTGAGGTGAAGATGTGTTTCAGCCAGGAAAGAATAAAATGATTTTTTTTCTCTCTTATTCCTATGGAATAAGAAAGACAAGGGAGCAGGGGACGGGTGGGGAAAGGGGACAAGAAAGGGACTTCAATGATGCAAGGATGAGAGAAGCATGGGATGCTTTTGTTCTTTTACTGTGGGTGGGCAGCCTCTCTGCTTTTGGAGGACTTCGTTTTAAGGGCAACGCAGTGAATTAGTAGATATTATAGAGATAAAATAAGGAGCTTTATTTAACATTCAAAACCAGAATGGAGTGAGACTGAGCATAAATCTTGATAAAGGTATAATTAATTAACACTACATTTCAGCTTTACTATTCAGAACATAAAATGCCATATTCTGTTTTAATTTATTTATAAACTAATGAGACAGATGCAAGACATGCTAAGGATGCATGAAGACACTAGTGAGCAGTGGTCAAAGACACTGGTCAAAACGATTCAGACAAAGTGAAACATGCATCAAGCATGCCCTCCTAGATTTAAACAGACGTTGTGCTGGACATGAAAGTTCTGAAAGCTTCATAAACTATGAAAATTTGGAACTAGTAGAAATGGAAAAATACAGATGGAAAATATTGCACGTAATAGCCAAATTATACCTATCAGTTTCAGATTCTGTTTTAAAGCTCTTGCCGAACTGGTTATCAGAGTATTCACCCGATGGACTATCAAATGCTGTTCGTTCTCGTGGACTGCCCTGTGGACTTTTTGACTCTTCGTCACTATGCATATACATCAAATCAGTCTCAACAGTACTATTATTTCCTTTAGCGGAATGGTTTTCTGACTTGGCATCAGCATTTGACATAGAATCAGGGGATTCGCGATGAGTTGGAGAACTTTCCTTCAGAATAGATGTGGATTTGGAATTTGCAGGCACAGCTACATCAAAAGAAAATCCTGCAGAAAGTGATATAGGGATGCACATAGGTCAAACATTATGCAACTTATATGGTGCCAGAAAGACAACTGATGAAGAACGGGAAAGGGGGGAGGGAATATATTCAAGAAAGCAAACCTTCATCTTCGAATTTATCCCAATCTTCATCCCAAACAACTGATATCTCTGGAATTCCAGGTTGCCAGCCTTGAGAAGGAGAAGACCATTTCAGACCAAAAATGTTAGATGGAAAATATAATAAACAAATGTGATGCAACAAATTGAAAAGTTACCAACTATCTTCGAGTTTTCCATTAAATTTTTTTTAATAAACAACATCAACACAATAAATTCAAAAACCATTGAAAAATATTCAATTTTCAATAATAACTGCAAGAATTGAGCAAGAATGAGTTCCAATTGTATTATCTGAGTAGCAAACACAGAAAACATAGGACCTCAAGAACTGATATGACATTATGCACATATGCAGATGAAATTGGTAGGGTTGACTTCTTACCCACGGTAGGATGTTCAGAATTCAAAAGAGACTCAGTAGGAGCAATGAAAAACAGAACAAACTGTCAAGACGTAGAAAAACAAGGGGAAAAACAACTTACCAGGGGGGAGTTCAATTAACGCAGTTGACTTCATATTAAGCTCGTGTTTCTTGCAACGATCCACCAAGGCCTTCAGTAGCTCCTCAAGATCATGTTGTATGCGATCAGCACGGACCTAGACAACCAAAAGTGGCCGAAACATAGCATAAGTTCCTATGGAAACACACACTTCCCAACAGTTTACCTGAGTAACCAAAGTAATAAGGTATGTTATCTTCACCTGAAGAATACCATCAGTGCTGCCACCTTGTTCCATTTTAGTGATTGCCTGTTGCAACTCCAGCTTTCTCTCCTGAATAAGGGATTTTTTTTCCTTTTATCTCAAGAATA